AAGGTCAGGGGCCTCACGGTTAATATTATGTTGTCAAAATCGGTTACTAAGTTATCGGGGTTGATTAGGATTTGTAGGGTTTGTTTGTGATGTGTTTTTGGTTCTAGGGTTAATTTTGCGAATAAACGCGAAAGTAAAGGTTTTATTATAAAATCTCAAAAGTCAGGGATTTAATAGAATTTACAAAAGTTAGGGGTCTCAGTATATTTGCAAATGCCACATCAACATATGGAGCATGTCATAAAAAGATTATTTATTTGTTTATCTATGTTTATAATATTTTTATTTTAAAAATTAGTTAAGTTAGTTTGATTGATTAACTAAAATAAAGAGTATGATTGTAGTGTACACTAACTAAACTAGTTAGGTGTATGAATCCAACGTGAACAATGATTTTGAGAGTAATCGGAGAGACAAAACTATGTCAATGAGCCAACAAATTTGAGTTAACCGGAGAATGAGTAGCCAGGTGAGGGTAAAAAAATGGGTAGCATATCTTCCAAATCCCAGTAAGTTCTCTCCTTAAACCTTAGGAAACGGGTCATATTTATAGATTTTTCTTGGTACCAAAGAATACCAAGTAGCCAAATAAGGTGATAACATGTGTTCTTGAGGATCACGTGGAATATTCTGCCGTGAACCACCAGACTGAGCTAGCCACATGTCCCTCTACATGTACTATGTGCTATCTGTTTGGCACAAATACCTCAACATGTGCCACTGCACTATTTGTTTGACATATACCTCAGCAACTTCCATTTTTGAACCTCAGCAAGTGCTTTTGTAGCAGTAGTTCTTGCTGCTGCAACTTCCTTCTCAGTTCAGTTTGGCCAAGGCATGCATTCTTAGAACTTCATAGCCTGCTATATGCCATAAGCCATGTTTATATTTACTTTAGTGATTCTCCCATCTTATCCACCTAACCACAAACTCTCCAACTTCCTAAGGCACAGGCCACAGCAAGGGTTGTGCCTCGTGCCATGCCCAATGGGGCTTCCTTGGTCCTGCTTGTGCAAGCAAGGCAGACTCATGACTTGGGTACATGGAAAGAGAGTCCCTTACTTTCAGGATGCCCTGCTTCCATCTTCGTGGGGTCGCCATGGTATACTAGTATCTCTAGGCTTGTTATCAACTTCAACCAGTAAGCATTGGGGCCTGCTATCAGCGCCAAGCTATTGAGCTTCGGACCTACTTTTAGCGCCGACCTAGAGTTTCGGGGCTTGCTATCAACACCGAGCTAATAATGCTTTGGGGCCCACTATCGAGCCTAAGCTAGTAATGTTTTAGGGTTTGCTATCAGCGCCAAGTATTAGCCTTCACTTATGAAAGGGAAGCCACCCTCAAATGCTGTTATCATCCTTGTAGAGTCTTCCCTTGGTAGGTAGTTGCGGCGGTTGTCGTTGTTGCGACAACTCTTTTCATCGGCAAGTGGAAATGTCAACGCCGACAATACTGAAAACTAAGGTAAAATGTTTAAGCAACTTGACCACTACAAGTGTTGCCTTGACAAGTAGTTTTTCGGAGGGTTCATAGTTGTTGTGGCTGCTCTCTACCTCAACAAGTTCAAATGGCGGTGCCAACAATGCCGAAAATGGTGGCGTTAAGGTAAAGTACCTCAGTAACTTGATCGCTGTAAGTGTTGCTTTTGTAACTTCCTTTAGCCATTTTGCTACAAAGAGCCTATTTCGGACCCTTGACGGGTCGGATCTAGTTTGGTCCTCTGGCTGACCCACTTTCCTTGGGTTTTAACCCATGCTCCTTTCATCATACTTACTCGTCTAATAGATGTAGCCTCAGCACTTAAGTCCATAATTTATGCTCCTCTAAATTAGGGAAAATAAAGAGAATATTTTTCTATATACTTTTGCAAGACATTTTGCCTCTTATGCCTGGAGTTGTTCTTAGGCACTATCATTTAGGAGCTCATGAGAAATTTTTTTTTTTACTCGTGGGAGAATGTTATGTGATGTTCCAACTTAATAACCATTAGTTACAACAGTAGAACTTGGTACTTTTTATTATACTTGTTTAGAATAATTTGACAAATATCAAGTAATAAACGATATAGGATAATATTTCAAAACTATCAAATAATTACTCCTTAAGCACCAAGTTAATAACTTTGGTTTGATTCAAATGTCAAGCTAGAAAGGTAGATGATTGGCCAGCTAACAGTTGCTCCAAATGAAAACAAAGTATCCAATGCCAAACACCGACACTAGCCCCACTCCCCATTTCATCGCTGGTGATCCCATGGGAAGTGGGTCACACACCCTTGACAGATGGGTAATTATTTGATGGTATTAAAGTAATACTCAGCATCATTCAACACACTATTTTATTATGTTGTCTACAATAAACTAAGTAAAAAGTATTAAGTCTTATTATGGCACCATTTGAGAAGAAGAATATGGGATTTTTTTTAACTATTTTAGTCATAAAAGATAAAATAGGCTATTTTAGTCATAAAAGACAAAACATTACATCTAACCCATAATCATTACACTCTTCTCTCACAAAAAAAAAAAAACAAAAAAATGAAAAAATTATTCCCAAACTAAACTTTTTAGCCTCGGCTAAAATAGTCAAAAAAAAAACCAAAAAATCAAAAAATTAATCAACTTCCCAAACCAACCCTATATTTACTAATAAAAATCAATTTGTGTAAAAGCTTATCAAAAAGTGGCCGAAACTTATTAGAGATGGTGGTTGGCAGTGGCGGGTGGCCAGAAAAAGCAGTGTGGTGACTAGATATGCTAGGAGAGAGCAGAGCGAGTGAATTTTTTTAAAAAAAAATAAAACTTTTTGACTTTTTTGGAAGTACCCAAACTTGGAAGTAAAAAGTATTAAGTCTTATTATGGCACCGTTTGAGAAGAAGAATATGGGATTTTTTTAACTATTTTAGTCATAAAAAATAAAATATGCTATTTTAGTCACAAAAGACAAAACATTACATCCAATCCATAATCATTACACTCTGCTCTCACAAAAAAAAAAAACAAAAAAATTAAAAAATTATTCCCAAACTAAACTTTTTAGCCTCGGCTAAAATAGTCAAAAAAATCAAAAAATCAAAAAATTAATCAACTTTCCAAACCAACCCTATATTTACTAATAAAAATCAATTTGTGTCAAAGCTTATCAAAAAGTGGCCGAAACTTATTAGAGAAAAAGCATGTGGTGACTAGATATGCTAGGAGAGAGCAGAGCGAGTGAATTTTTTTTAAAAAAAATAAATAAAATTTTTTTCCAAAATTTTCACAAATTTTGAAATCAATATACCATTTGTTTTGAAAATAGAAACAATATACAAAACGATTTTTTCATTTCCACTTTCAAAAGAAAAAAGGGGAAAATAGAAATGCTACCAAATGTTTTCGGTATATTTTATTTTATTTTAAAAAACTAATAACAAAAACTTATTTGATATATTATTTTCATGGGACAATTACATAAAAAATTTCAAGGTTTGAGTCTTATATCAAAATAAATCCTAAATTTTTTATTTTATCAATTTGAATTCTAATCTTTTAATTTGTTTTCAATTTAGATTATGTTTTTTTTTTGTTAAGTAAAATCAAAGGAAAAAAAGTATTTTAATCATTAAATTCGATGTAAGTATTCATAAAATATCTAAAATATATTTTTCATTGGGTTTAATGACTAAAAAATATATATATTTTTTTATCGATTTTACTTAATGAAAGAAGACAAATGATTTAGATTGAAAATAAATCAAAAGTTTAGGAATTAAATTGACAAAATTAAAAACTCAGGATTTATTTTAATACAAGACTCAAACTCTAGATTTTTTTTTTATTATTATTGTAATTTCCCCTATTTTCATGTTTATAAAAATGAAATTGATTCTAAAATTTTAAGAACTTTAGAAAATGAAAATAAAAAAATATTTATTCTCTTTTATTTTTAAAGTAAAATTTCACTCCTTCCTCCCCCACCCATCACAGCCATCCACTACTTTTGGCCATTAGCTAGCTGACCATCGACGACCCTGTGGCCACCTTGTGACCTCCAACAACCACCAACTACTCTCAAGTCACCCTCCCATGATTTTGGGCGACACTCTCGTCACCACCTCCAATACCCGCCTCTGGCCACCACATCCGATCCTTTCTATCACCTTTTGGCAACTCACCAAGTATGTTTATTTTTGTCTTTAGTTTCATTTGTTTTCAAATATGTACACTATTTACATTTTTATTTAATTAAAAATAATAAATAAATAAAAGAAACTGACAATGTTTCAATCAGGCTGGATTCATGATCACATCTGCAAAAATGTTTTCCTGTGGGCTGACGCCCCCGGCCTGGGCAATGATCTATATCACATGATAATTATTCTGTTTGATTTGGCACCTAATGGTTCGGCTCAACTCAGTGTTCCAGTCAGTAATGTGAACCTAGAATTTATCTAGTGCAATAGCAATTGAGAGATATAGGGAAGAAATCCTCATAAACCAATTGAGGACGTACCTAGTGCAATAGCATTGAGAGATATAGGGAAGAAATCCTCATAAACCAATACAGAAATCCTCATAAACCAATACAGAAAAAAAAAATGTATTTAAGACCCAAAAAAGGACGTACCTAGTGCACAAGGCTCGCGCTTACAATAAGATTGGCGAGAGTAGAGACCTATTGGATTGCTTAGCACTAACCATTGATCCACTAAGCTTCATGTTCCCGACAACCTAAGCATCACACAGGACAATCCATGACAGAAGGTTTCAATTCTAAGCTTTCATCTTTAAATGAAGTACACTCAATTTCCATGGATGTGCAGCACAGCAGAGCAATGACCAATTGAAGTCTATGGCACATTGGCAATGGGTTGTAACTCAAATCCTCGAACCACGATGCTAGAAAGGGGTTAGGCAAGCGTTTATATGGTGTAAGCATAGAATTCTTTGCAGTTGAAATGATTCTTGACATTTGTAATTCAGTTCTCATAAAAGATGAAAGCAGAAATTGGCAAAGTAAAGAATCAAGTGATGATGCATTAACAAGTAGCGGATTAAGAAAGGGTGCAACTCAAGCGCACAATTACAGAAAAGGCAGCCAATGCCTCTTTTATAGTAGCAATAAATTGAATAGCACCAATGTTCTCAAAATGTATGTTCTCTTTTGTGTTAAATAAGTGAACTCCACAATAGTACATGATTTTGTGCTTTAGCTCTTCTCCAGCAACTTGCAAGTGTGATCGTATGGATTCAATGTTCAAACGTGAGTAACAGTGGTCCATAAAAAGGAGTTTTCAGTGTGAAACACCAACATGCACCAAAGATTAATGTTCGAGGTTAACAAAATTTCACGCTCGAAGTCAATATTCTGGCTACCCAAGTAATTCAGTTTGAATGAACATTTTAGCACCCATTGAAGCAGTCTCCTCAAAACTAGATTTAAACTCAGATACAAGTAATTCAATTTGAATGAACACCAATATGCACCAAAGATCAATGTTGGAGGTTAACAAAATTTCATGCTCAAAGTTAATATTCTGGCTACCCAAGTAATTCAGTTTGAATGAACATTTTAGCATCCATTGAAGCAGTCTCCTCAAAACTAGATTTAAACTCAGATACAAGTAAGGTTTCCCATGCCCTAATCCCAGGAGCAATATTCTTGCCATCAGTTTGAATGGGAATTTTAGCATCCATTGAAGCTGTCTCCTCAACACTAGGTTTAAACTCATATACAAGTAGAGCTTCCCATGCCCTAATCCCAGGAGCAACATTCTTGCCAACTGTTTCTTTTAACAGTTCCATTGCCTTACAAACCAGCCCTCTTTGACACAACCCACATATCACTTCATCAAATGTTGAAGACTGAGGAATTAAACCCTTATCCAAAATTTCCTTTAATCGACCGCAAGCTTCATCAATTTGACCATCCTTTACCAACCCATCAATGATAATATCATACGTTTGTGAGTCAAGGCGCACGCCCTTCGACTCCATCTCCTTCACAATCTCCATTGCCCTACTCAACTTCCCAACATCAAAAAACCCCTGCAAGATCGTATTATACGAAACGACATTGGGCTTGCAACCCAACTCCTCCATATAACCAATCATCTTCACTCCCTCCTCTGCCTTGTTCTGTTTACACAAACCATTTATGTATGCATTGTAAGTATGAATATCGGGAACCAAACCCAACACAAGCATTTCATCGAACAGTTCATCTACCTTCTTGAACTTCCCTTCTGCAACAATCCCATCTAAAACCAAAGTATAACAGACTACATTGGGCTTGATTCCATCCATTTTCATATCCTCAAGAGCACCCAAAGCATCCATGCCCTTCCCATTCTTCACCAAAAACCTAATCACATTGCACCAATCCAAACTCTTAGGGTAAAACCCTAATTTCCTAATTTCTTCCCAAAAACACATAACCTCAACACCAGACAAATCTTTTCCTTCACAGAGAGTTGACAAAATTAAAGAACACAATCTCCCATCAAGAAGACTATGCCCATCACGAATCATAAAATTCAACAACTTAATCGCATAACCCACCTTCCTAATCCTACAAAGAGCCTTGATTAAGACACAAAAGCTAGATTCTTCGACACGTATATTCATCAACTGACTCTTCAACAAAATTTGAGGAACAACCCAAATACCCTCTCGATTCTTACAAAGCACTGAAAGCAAAGAATTGAGAGAATCCACCGAAGGAACACACCTGAACTTAGGTATCCTAAAGAACAGATCAATGGCTTGTCGAATCAAATTCGAATCGCCATAAATTCTGATCAAATCGACGAAAATGAACTCGGGTGTTTCGAATTTTTCGACTCGTTCGATGCGATCGAGAACTTGGGGGATTTGGTCGAATTTGGAGGTTTTGGCTAGGGTTTTGATGACGAAATGGTAGGCATTGGGAGTTGGGTTTGATCTGTAGACAGAGAAGGAATCGATGAGGGAAGAGAGAAGATGGGTTGAGTTTGTTGATGATGATTGTTTGAGGGTTTGAATGGCTTGTTGATCATTGAATGTTTCTTGCCATTTGGCCTTGTATGGTGAGAGTGGCCATTTTCTTGTTTTTCTGAGATGGTATTTGTGAGAAAAACTTCTTGATGATGACGATGATGATGATGATGATCTGAAGAATGAAACCATGAGAGAATTAGAAGATTGATTTGAATTGCTTTGTTTGAAATGGGTATGAAATGGGCCGAAGAGGAGTTGTAGTGATGTTCTGCACTCAGACACTGACTTCAGCATTTCTTACTACAACGACAGCCGCCATTGTGGGTATTTAAACTTTCAACAATGATTCATCCTTCCTTTTTTCCCAACTTTTGACCTCCTTTCTCTCTTATCGGTTATATTTTGTTTTTCTTTTTCTTTTTTTTCCTACTTCTCCAATTACCATCCGCCACGTGACAAAAGGGATGAGGAGATGACCCCCAAAAGGGAGTCTCAAGCATTATTCTTAAACCTTGCTATCTGAGGCCATAAAAACAATAAAAAATAAAATAAAATAAAAAGGGTAAATTACACTGACATCCTTTGGTTTATGTTTATTACAGTTTTCCTTCACTTTTTGAAAATTACATCTCCTCCAAGGTTTAAAGTTTCATTACAGATTCCCCCTCAGCAATTTAATTTTTTTAAATACCAATTTTACCCTCACTAGGTAAATTACATTGACGCCCCTCACATTTTAGAAATTACAATCCCTCCCTAAGATTTAAAGTAGCATTACCAATTGCCCTCTCGGTTAGTATTAGTTGGAAAAAAAATTTATTGAAAAAAAAATTAATTGGAAAAAAAAAATTATTTGAAAAAAAAATTAATTGAAAAAAAATTTTGTTAGTAAAATTTTTAAATTTCTGTTTAAAAACCAACATAAGCTCATTTTTTGAATTTATATTTTTTCCTCAAATTTACAAACTGAGACAATCATTTATAAATCCAAAAAATTATCAAATAAGTTTTGTGGCAGTTTTTAAAATTTTGTAAATATAAATTGAAAATTGAATACAAAATAGTTATCAAGCAGGTCTCAGATGGTAAAAATTTCGTAAAATTAACAAATAATTAAATAAGTTACTAATGTAAGAAATGACTTATTAAAAGATTCTTAGGCTAGGTATGGTTTGATTTTTAGAAAAAAATTTTAAAAATTAAAAATTAATTTGGTTAAAAAATAAAAAATAAAAAATAATTATCATTTAAGAGTATATTAAAAACTATAATACCGTGATTATTTTAGATCACCAATGTGAGTCATAGCGGTTATATAATATTTATGTCATATTTCCTTCTATACACCACACCATCGATAACCTTCACCAACCCAGTCCATTATCGGGATATGTAATTATTTGCCTGAAAGGCCCCTGTAATTTGTCTTGTTAAGATATTTCCTATTTATCAATATTCAAATTAATGTGTACACACACTTTTAGAAACAGAAAAAATAGAAACAAAATTATTATTGAGTAAATAGTGTCAAATAAAAATAAGCACTCAAGATTAACCATACACATCATGGGTGGCTTAAATGTTCTTTATATGTCTTTGGTGGCAATCCCTTTATGAATGGATCAGCAATCATAAGAGAGGTGTTTAAGTTTTCAATTAACACTTGTTATTTCTAGACTCTTTCTCTAACAACTAAGAACTTTACTTCCATGTGTTTGGAACCACTGGAGTACTTTCTATTCTTAGAGAAGAAAACTGTTACGGTATTGTCACAATATATCTTCAGTGGCCTGGCAATTAAGTCAAAAACATCAAGTCCTGACATGAAATTTCGCAACCATAAAGTATGATTTGTAGCCTCAAAGTATGCCATAAACTCAGCCTCTATAGTAGATGAAGCAATAGTGGACTGCTTCACACACTTCCATGAAATTGCTCCACTAGCAAGTAGAAAAACAAAACCTGATGTAGATTTTCCACTATCAAGGGAACTAGCAAAATCTGAGTTTGAGTATCCGGTCACTTCCAACTATTCTGATCTCCTATGGGTGAGCATATAGTTCTTTGTTCCTTGAAGATATCTCATAACTTTCTTTACTGCTTTCCAATGTTCCATTCCAAGATTACTTTGGAATCTTCCCAACATTCCAACAGCAAAACTAATATCTGGCCCCTGTAATTTGTTTTGTTAAGATATTTCCTATTTATCAATATTCAAATTAATGTGTACACGCACTTTTAGAAACAGAAAAAATAGAAACAAAATTATTATTGAGTAAATAGTGTCAAATAAAAATAAGCACTCAAGATTAACCATACACATCATGGGTGGCTTAAATGTTCTTTATATGTCTTTGGTGGCAATCCCTTTATGAATGGATCAGCAATCATAAGAGAGGTGTTTAAGTTTTCAATTAACACTTGTTATTTCTAGACTCTTTCTCTAACAACTAAGAACTTTACTTCCATGTGTTTGGAACCACTGGAGTACTTTCTATTCTTAGAGAAGAAAACTGTTACGGTATTGTCACAATATATCTTCAGCGGCCTGGCAATTAAGTTAAAAACACCAAGTCCTGACATGAAATTTCGCAACCATAAAGCATGATTTGTAGCCTCAAAGCATGCCATAAACTCAGCCTCTATAGTAGATGAAGCAATAGTGGACTGCTTCACACATTTCCATGAAATTGCTCCACTAGCAAGTAGAAAAACAAAACCTGATGTAGATTTTCCACTATCAAGGCAACTAGCAAAATCTGAGTTTGAGTATCCGGTCACTTCCAACTATTCTGATCTCCTATGGGTGAGCATATAGTTCTTTGTTCCTTGAAGATATCTCATAACTTTCTTTACTGCTTTCCAATGTTCCATTCCAAGATTACTTTGGAATCTTCCCAACATTCCAACAGCAAAACTAATATCTGGCCTGGTACATATATAAGCATACATCAAGGTCCTTACTGCTGATGCATATAGAATGTCCTTAATTTGTTTTCTTTCCAAGTCATTCCTTGGACACTATTTTTCGCTTAATTTATCACCCTTCATGATGGGTGCATTACCGACTGAACAAAACTGCATATTGAATCTCTCCAAAACACAATCAATATATCATTTCTGAGATAGTCTTAGCAATCCTCCAGATCAATCCCTAAATATCTCTATGCCAATAACATAGTTTGCATCACCCATATCAACCATTTTAAAGTTCTTGGAGAGATATTCTTTGGTTTCATACAATAAGCCAAGGTCATTACTAGCTAACAAAATGTCATCCACATATAGCACCAACATAATGAACTTGTGTCACGACCCAAACCTGCCCCTATGGATTTAGCACCGTAACCAGCCAGTAATCCAAGATTACCGAAGGCCTGCTTAATAGTAATATAGTAAAACAGAGTACAGGGGCCTAGCGGAAGCCAATACAGTAAATAAACAATGTCCAATGAGCTGTGACAGTCTGAATGC